ATAACGAAGATATCCACTTTAAACCAATAAGTCCAAGATCGGCCTTTGTATTGTTTGGTACTGAGTATGTCCTTAACGAGGATGATAACAATATCACTAACACTTTAAAAACAATACTACAAAAATACAGATCCCCATTTTGCTGTCAAATACCTTGAAGCTGAGATGAGAAAGACTCCTGTTTCCGGAGATACCTATTCGCTTCCGATTTCGAGATCTCTAAGTCCATTGAAACAATGTTGTACAAGTAGAATGTGTAGCCAAGGCCACCCAGTAGAGCGAAAAATACAGCTCCCTGAAAAATCGATTTGTTTCTTCTGTAACACATCTTGTGCCAGTCGACGATTAGCAAATAGCCTGAATTAGATCGGACTTCAAATAGTCTCTCGCATCCATTGATCCGTGCAGAAAATGTTCAAAACATTTCCAACTTGAATGCCACTGACTGGGTTTACATCGAGATCGGACCAATGTGACGTGGAGACAACAAATATGGCCACTAGCCTCTCTTTCAGTGATCCGAGCCCGCCGTGCATAAATAGCGGTTTCCCGAAATGACCCGTGGCAACCGCGGGATGATATTCGCGCGATTATCTACTAACTTGTTACCCAAGGCAAACCGTGGGTGGACAGTGATGGAAAATGGTTTATACGAGATGTAAAATTATTAAGGCCAAAATCAATATGTGAGTATGATGTTTTACAGAAAGGCGATTGTGATTCGTGAATTTATGAACCAGCATACTGGCGTTAGACGTGATTTGCCTCCTGAAATACTCTTAACCCGTGGATAATTTCTTACATTTCCTAAGAAACCGCAGGATTTCCATGAAACTCCTCTCACAAAAAGGGTGAATTTACATTATGCCATTTAAATTCGTGACGCGTGAAATGGTGTAATACACATAGCGCGTGCATATTTTTAAAGTTCTTACGCGAAACGCGGATAAGGACCCGCCCCCCGCCCCCCCTCTTTTCTACCCTGTAAAGCAGCTGTCCGCTCTCCTAAATCATTCACGCATTTTAATTGGTTCTCACTTATGATCTATTGGAGGAAAGTCGTATAGATGACGTCACCTTTAGCAACGTTTTGCTTTGTTGTTGTATAAACTAATATATTTGATGTTGCAGTAATAGAACACAGAACACGTCAAGATGCAGTAAGAATATCAGTGACACATATATAGTACACTCCGCTAAGCCTGATGTCTCCCTATTTTGTTCTTACAACACTTTGACGTCATCTGTAATCTCTTACTGAACAGATGCACGACAATATGGAATTAATTTTGTAAATGGAGCTGTAAACCTATATTGACTGCATGTGTATGTCGGTTGTCTCTCGCAAAGATATTTACCTAAGTTTGTTATATTAATTAAAACTATGGGTAATAGCGAATATATTACTTGCCCTTGTTTTCACAATAGATTCATTTACTTTTAGCTGTGAAAAAAAAGAAAACTGTGGCCCCTAATTTTACAATAAGTTTTACTAATCATCGGCATTGAGTATGAAGCTTAAAGAATAATTTCCCTTTATGAAACCCTTCATTAGTTGACGAGACCACAAACTGTTTTATTGCGTGTACAAACAAAAAGGATGTCATTTGTTCTTGAGAGAAAGGACCTTCAGACAGGTTGTCTTTGGGTTTCTCTGGCCTCTACTCATATCCTCAGCCTACATCAGGAATTTTAAACTTTAACTTAACAGGAAAAATGATCAAAATGGAGAAAAGAGAGGATCACAATTATTAGCAACTTGTAACGTTTGCCAAAGAAAACCTATTTTGATTTGCATTTTCAATAATTAGTTTTAAAGATTATTGTTTGCCAGTGTTTGCGATGTCTCTAGAGAAATGAGCAGAAAACAATGAAGGACCTGTAAGACGTTCTGCTTTTGTTCTGTCTCTTTTAGATATTAGAGTCATTACATTAACTCCTCCCAACTACTGAAACAGAATGAAGAAGGAGGCGTAGGTGCTAATTACGAATAATCACCTCATGGCAGAAACGAAAATTTAAAGAATTATTTTCCAAGGACAGATCCATCAGAGTAGGTGAATTGTATTTACGTTTCCAACTTTCTTGGAATCCTGGAGAAAAATTAAATACAGCAAAATTTGACTCTCTTAACAAAGCGACTCAGTTTACACCCCTTGCGAAATTCGGTGTTGAGCACTTTGTTTAACAAGACTCTTTTCATTGTTCTCCAGATATAACAGTGTAGTTAATGGATTACGTAAAACTGGCGTGTTTCAAGCCAATATCACGATTTGTTCACGCGTGCAATATTCATTTGCTTCTTAGAGTGTGGTGCTTAAGAAGTCGCACAACATCAGTCTACGCGGCCTTTTACCAACCCTGGACAATCTGGTACCTTCACGGAGGTTTGCGTCACATTTAAAGTACATTCTCGACCGTAAACATGGCATCTCAGAGTTTTAATCTTCCAAGTGTCTCAGCTATTCCAGCGTTCACTCACTCGTTTTATCATTGCGGATACTTCAACCCAGAGATGTCAACCTGTCTTAACAGAAATGGCTCTAGTATATGGTCTAGTTATGTGAATCCATGTTACCACCAAAGCTTTCAAGGCATCCCGTATCAACCCGCAGATGAAGAAAAACCAACTCAATCATACATTGGTCTTATTGGAAAAGCAATTCTAAGCTCTCCACAGCAGAAACTTGTTCTTGGTGATATCTACAACTACATTCTAACAAATTATCCTTACTTCGGGAATAAAGGACCTGGATGGCGTAACTCCATACGCCACAACTTATCACTAAATGATTGCTTTGTTAAACTGGGTCGCTCTCCAAACGGCAAAGGACACTTCTGGGCAATCAATCCACTTAACTATGAGGACTTCAGTCGGGGAGAGTACAAACGCAAAAGGGCCACGAGAAGAAACCGGGAGAGAAACGGAACTGAGATAAGAACAAATGAAATCTCGAACAACTATCCAGCTGCTCAAACGAAGTGTAAAAGTTTTTTACAAAATAGAGGTTTTCACATCGAAACTCTTTTATCCAATAAATGGGAAGAGAAAGGTAGCGCTGGATCACTGAATACTACGTCAGCATTTGCTGTTGTCGCCAGCTAATTCATAAGTGGACTGGTTTTTTTAGGAATTTTGATTTCATATAAAAACTGAAAACTTCGTAAACATCGAAGAAAAGAACGGAAAAGGAAGCTGAATGTTTATCTCAAACCACCTGCATAGTACATATGAAATAAGAATGGACAAAAACTTGATCAACAAGCCATACACATTGCGTTGTAAGCATTTCTCCGTCCGTGCGGTATTTGTTACAGCTATATATAAAAATCTCTCTGATGACATTAGAAAGTGCAGAATGGTAATGTTTGTTTCACAATTCCAAGTGCTGACAAAAATATTGAGAAAATTAAACTGGAAGCGTGGGAAAAATAATCAGTTTTTTTTTTTTATATTGGTGCCGGCGTTGTATTCTAAGCCAGCCAGCGATTAAACATATTGAGAAAAAGCAATAAAAATTCGGTGCTAATGACTTTTACCACTATTCCATGTATTTAAATGCAAATCCACATTTCACCTAACAAGAATGCAAACAGATAAGCAAACTTGGCATTGTATATTATTCATAGACCTAATCAACATTACTTAAACCAAGAAACGACGGAATTTGTGGCTTAAGTAAGTTTGAAAGCATACGTTAGTGTCGAGAAATCTTGGGAATGCAATTCTTTGTTGCGAATGAAAAGAAATGGCTTTCTTTTGCTTCCAGAATATCAAACTACAGCAGTGTACGCTCAGTTTTTTAGTCAAGCGAAAAGAAAATCAGAGTGGTTTAAGAACGTTTTAATCTACCTGACCGAAGCCTGAGCCGTGAATACGATTTTACGTTTTTCTTCAATTGAGATTATCCTTGGAAAGGAATAACTTCCAAGTAGATCCTGTTAGCTGCCAAGTTTTAAAAAAAACTATCTAAGATAACTGACCTTTGACTAACGTTTACAACCAGGAATAGTGAACTTAGAGCGACCGTTGTGAATAAATAAAATTGCAGGGTCACAGTTTACCGACCTGGTTGCAATTGCGGCCGGCATCGAATGAGATTATTTCATAAGATACAGGAAGGAAAAATGAGGAGAATCACTTTCCACTTTCAGAAATGAGAGAAATAAAAGTCATATAAATAATTTGTTGCTCTTAGCTCGGTTTGTTTGAAAAACAACATTTACAGTTTGGCGCTGAAGTAGGATGTTTACAAAGAAGACTAATTAGGTAGATTGCAAATTAAGTTTTTTTTATTGCTATTCAAAAGTCGTTTACACATAAATTTCCGCTAATTCTAGTTGCTATGTTCTCAACTATATTGCCAAGTTTTGACTGTTTTCTCCCTTCGTTTTGCTCTAACCTTTGACTATTGTTGAATTTTGTTTCTATGAATTTCAGTTGCTATATCTGTGTTCATATTCACCGAAAAATGTATTCATATACAGAAAATACTTTGAAACTATGGGTAACAATCGATCTAGGATTCTGGTGGCCTGGGTGAGAAAAAAACACTGAATAAGCAAGCTTTTCTCTTCATTGTCTGTCACTCTAACAACCTGATTGAAAGACTCATGACCGAACTAAATGACGAGTTGTTTTCAGTCGACTGACATAAGTTTCATAACACTTGCCTTTTTCGGGACTACTCTGATCTCTGAGACTGTTATATACTCGTCAATCATCAGGAAAACATTTATACCTTTTTCACGCTCTGAAACAACTACTTACAATCGATTACGAGAAAGGAAACCTGGAAAATCTTTATAGTAAATTGTTTTATGAATTGTTTTAATAAATTATTTTCATGGAGCTGAAGACTCCTTTGAAAAGTGTAAACCTATAAGTGTTACCCAGAACCGTCACAAACACCTTAGAATCGGGTGCATTATACATTTATATGAACTCCACATAAAATCCATGAAACAGTTGTATGTTTTTCAATGCCGTAAAGTTTCATTCAATCGGATAAAATGTTTTCGATGTGAAAACTTCTTTGGCGCAATCCACTTTGACTGTGTGTGAAACTGTTATCACCCTGACGAACTTCCTCTTTGGCACACAGAGGAACAACATCTTTACATGATTTCCAGCCTTGACCTTTTTCTAATGTCTGTAAACTTTTTTCCGATGCAATGCTTCTCTGACTTTTTTTGGAAGATCTTTTCCGCTTGTACCCTAAATCTCCACGACTGAAATCCTCATAGTGAAGTGGATTGATTGCCCAGAAGTGTCCTTTGCCGTTTGGAGAGCGACCCAGTTTAACAAAGCAATCATTTAGTGATAAGTTGTGGCGTATGGAGTTACGCCATCCAGGTCCTTTATTTCCGAAGTAAGGGTAATTTGTTAGAATGTAGTTGTAGATATCACCAAGAACAAGTTTCTGCTGTGGAGAGCTTAGAATTGCTTTTCCAATGAGACCAATGTATGACTGAGTTGGTTTTTGTTCATTCTTGCGTTGGGTCGGAATTCCATGAAAGCCTTGATGGGAACATGGACTTACATATCCTGGAACATAAAACGAAATCTCTGAGCTGGCGTATCCGAAGTACAAAGACGAGTAGGGAAAAGTTGGAGCAGCGGGTACAGCTGGGTGGCTTGGGGCAGCTGGAAGGTAGAACCTTAGAGGCGTCGCATTTACAGGCCGCCAGAAACTACTTTCCATTGGAACAAACGTTTTGGCCCCAGCTTTAACTTTCAGTTTGAGAACGTCAATCACTTCACTTTTAGTTTGGCTGTTGCCCAAATGAAATTCAAGTTTGCTCAGATGAGTAAGCTTTTATATTGGCTCAAGAAACGCTTGTCGTAATTAATCAACAATGTCATTGTTTTGTATAATGGAACTGCTTCTAATCCTCATTGCTCAATGTCAAATAAAGTCAACTCAGGGAAGGGAATATCATAAGTAATATGATCATGAAATTCAATTTTGTGCATTTCTTAGGAGATCTTTCAGCATATTAATCTTGACGACGTACTTCTACTTCGTCCTCGAATTTTTTTACTTTTTTTTCTTCATTCTTTAAGCTTATTATTTGTAATTAACGCCCCACGCCTTGTGTTTGGCTTTCCTTTCAGACTTGTTTGAAAAACAAATTCAAAGTAGCCTTTTCTTTGAAGGAGCGTTCCATTCATTCTCAAGTTAATAGTCCCCGAGAGACTATTCGATCTCTAAATGACTGCTAAAAGCAAAGTTTAGCCGATAAAAAAGCACACTACGAGAAACTGCTGTGAGATAGTCAGTAAAAACATCAACAAGCTTGCTTTTTCATGAATAAGAACAGAAATAAACTGTTAACAAGTCTGCTGCTTATTTTTCTTTATGTCGCAGTATTTATTTACCGTATTGTTTGTCTAACGTACTAATTTTAGTGTCATTGTTCTCTAATGGAAGGTTCTGCTGAAGGGGCGTGACAATTCGTCCTCCTAACAAAACAAAAAACGATTGTTTTGTCAGTTTTTAAGGTGATTGCAGACTGGGAATTCAGTGTCAACAAATATGAAAATTGCTCGTATCTCTAGCCTACAATAGATGATAAAGAAAAATCACTTGAACAACCAAAACTGCTATGAGAGGAACACTTTTATCAAAGCTTCATAACTAGATTTAATAATCTATTTTCAAGCAGTCATAAGAACACGAAAACAAAACAATCACATTTTTTGCCTATAACGTTGTTTCTTCAGACAAACACTTCACGTAGTCTACTTGTCTAAGAGTAAATTTAGTGAGTACAATTGAGTAAAAAGATATTTATTGTCATCTCTTGTTTTCATTTAAAGAGATGAGTAAGTACATGGCTTTCAAACTCGTTTTTAAGAGCTTTAAATCAATCGATTGCTCAGAAATTTTCTTCTCAACAGTAAACTGTCAATGGTGACACCTTTTGAGTAGGCCTCGTTTGACACTGACATGATTAATGCATTTGATGGTCATTCTTGCAGCCATCTGCGATATGAGAATCAGAAATAACCTTTCCCTGCATCAAAACGATGTTAAGACTTTTCACGTATCTGCAGGTTGAACTGCTGCGGTTACCTTAAAAGTTATATAGTTTCATATAACTTTTTTGAGGGCCCAGTACATATAAAAAGACACAATTTGGAACCTCGGCAGCCGACGAATTATTGGTATTACTTGTCTGATTACACTGTAGAGAAAGTTGTGACACAAGCGGGTTTTTCCAGTAAAGTATATATCGCACTTAAAGTGTCAGAGTCAGAATTCTTCAAAAAGCTTCACGGTTGCCATGTAACAAAAAACTACCTTGATGCGTTCAATGATTGCCTTAATTACGCCTTTGGTTCTTAAATTCGACCTATTTTGCGCCATCTTAGTTACCAAAAGCTTTCTCCATTGTCACCAAAATTCACTTCCTCAATGTACATATATCGTTCATATGAGTTATCAAGCCTAAAGCGCATGCACGTCTGCCCGATTGATCCCAATTTTTTCTCCTTTCTTTTTATAAAGAAACCCTTAGGCGTTTAATTGGACACAAGGAACGATTCTATGGCTGTCCGCTTAAAATAGGTTCATTGTATGTGACAGGCGACTTGCAGCAATCTCAAATACAGTCTTAAGTGCAATCTTAAATTTTATTTACAAAATCTTCTTTTTTCCTCAAACCTGTAAACTTTCTTCTGTAATGTAACCTGGTTTCATCAAGCTATTCAAAAATGAATGTCGGAAGTCTAGACTAGAAGGGACAGAAGTCCAATTTCGTGATAGCATCCCATGGCACTTCTGTAGAAGTCTTAGCGTTATTTTCTTCTTGAATTCGGACAGTTGACGGTGCTCTTGGAAACTGTTGGCATCACTAGAAAAACTCAACGAGAGAGATATTTGTTCTTCTTGATTAGTCACATTGCAAACGATTCTAAAACAGACTCGCTAACGGGCCAAAAAAAACTGTTATGATTTGACTTTAATAGACTAGAAAATGGCTGTCATCCAAATCATTTCAAATATTTTCATAATTAAAAATATTCCTAAACTCGACACGAAAGTCAGTCAAACCAATTTAATAACACTAATTTCAAATATTGTTTCCTTTTGTTAAAAGTTCAGCATTCAGAACCATGCGTCTTTCACGTCGTTTGTTACTAATGTCCGGTTTCCTACAAAAGACGGTGTTGTCTTTTATCAGTTAAGAGGCCACACAAAACACAGGTTGCTTATTTGTTTTATTGTTTCATGAACCGTAAATTTACATGTTAAAGGAATGGGGAGGAGACAAAATCCGTGAAAACTGCATTGTTTAAAGGTTTTCTTAGAGTTTTTTTTTATCATAGCGCAATGAATAGATATATGTTTGCTTATGTTTCATCACGCCTACCAACTTTTTTATTTTTACATTACTTTATCAGTGCGCTTTCTTGCTATGAAAAAGGTTCGAAAAGAAAATCACATTTGTACCCTTTTGCCGTGTTCTTCTATAAATCTCTTGACTGAAAGTCGTTCATCTGGGAAAACATTGTCCCAATATCTTTTTTAATGGCATCAAATTGACATAGACTTGTAATCTTTCGCTAATACTCTCAAACACAAACTACATGGCTACAAATTTCCAAAGAATTAGAGGCTGAAAATATCTTCCTGTAGTTTATTGTCGTAGTACATTGAGGTATTTAAATTCAAATTTTAACATAGAAACTCATTCATAAGAAGTCTGTTTTGCTGGGTCATTCTCTCGGTGATGAAATCTGCGTACTTCAAGTTCTTTTTTGACAGGTATCTGTCTCTGCGACACAAAGGAAAATGCTGACACCGCTTCGTGCGTTTCACTGCTTTTGACATCCTCCCATTTGTCTGATAGTAGCGTCTCGATGTGGAAACCTCTATTTTCTGCTTCATCTGGAAAAATGTTATTGGTGCAACGGATTTCTTGTGATGAGCACCTCGGAACATGTCCAGTTGTGTTCAATTTCGTTCCACCACTCTCTTTTCTCTCCCGGTTTCTTCTCGTGGCCCTTTTGCGTTTGTACTCTCCCCGACTGAAGTCCTCATAGTTAAGTGGATTGATTGCCCAGAAGTGTCCTTTGCCGTTTGGAGAGCGACCCAGTTTAACAAAGCAATCATTGAGTGATAAGTTGTGGCGTATGGAGTTACGCCATCCAGGTCCTTTATTCCTGAAGTAAGGGTAATTTGTTAGAATGTAGTTGTAGATATCACCAAGAACAAGTTTCTGCTGTGGAGAGCTTAGAATTGCTTTTCCAATAAGACCAATGTATGATTGAGTTGGTTTTTCTTCATCTGCGGGTTGATACGGGATGCCTTGAAAGCTTTGGTGGTAACATGGAATACACGGACCAACATAACCTGGCAGAACTCTTACGTCTTTACCGAGGAAAGAGGAAGACATTTCTTGGCTGACGTACCCACTGAAAAAGGACGAATACGGGAACATTGGAGCTGCAGAGATGCTTGGATGATAAAAAGTCGCAGGGCTAACATTCACCGGCGAGAAACTGTTCTCCATTGGCTCAAACTTGGCGAACATCAGAATTTATATCACGGATCAAAGTTTCGAGACTTTCACAGGATCCACACTCGATTGAAAATGAGCATGGCACGAGTGAACAACTGTGATATTGGACTGTAAAACACTATGCTTTACGTAATTGATTAATGACGCTTTTACTGACATAAACAATCAAACTCTTTGATATTGGTTTTCCAGCAAAAAAAGGCTTTCATTCAACTACATTTGGTGCCAATTTGTATACATGGACAAACAATGTTCAAAACTAATTTCAAGCTGAGTGAAAGAAAATCTCTTTAATTAAATGTGTGGGTTTTCAATTCAAATGAAATTCACAAGCATTGCAGACTTCTAGAGCTTATTCCGGTTGACATGTTTGTCCACTTATTCATATAATTAGCGCCCTTATAATTTATTTAGCATTTTTGAATAATTGTCACAACAACTTGCTAAACCTTAAAAAAGAAAGGTTTATTCTTCTTAAATCCCCTAGGATCCATTCCCACTCTTTTTTGACCGAGTACCTGTAATCTCACCGTTAAAAGACAAGACTGACCACAACGTGAAACCAAAAACAAGCAATTCCAAGTAGCTCAGAGCTGTAAAAAAGCGAGGTTCATGTTACATTTCGTGATAAACGTGACAAGAAATACTGAACTAACTATTCGAAGTAATACAAGTCTGTTCCAGTGTTCTGTTTGTATAAGAATGGAGTTAATATCACATCCGCCCGTACATTTGTTTGGCATTGTTTGTGTAACGTGCTAATGCTAGCGTTATTGTTTACGGATACAAAGGCGCGTGATTGCTTAGACTCACAAAGAAACAATTCCCTGCAGTTTTTTTTCGGGGCTTCTGGTGAAACACACAAGTATTTTCGTGATCCAGCCTAACGAAGTCTTCATTTAATGCTAATTAACGCCAAAACAACCATAAAGCTTCTCTCTCTCGTGTAATTCATTTATTTTTTCGTTGTAACGTTCAGTACTAATTAAAGAGTGGGTCGACTCCACTACAGTTGAAGATTTTATAAAAAAAAAAAAACCAAATTGGTTTTCGTGGTTAAAAATCTACTAATAAGGAAAGGTACTTTGGTTTCCAAATTCATTCTCTGAGTCTACTTAACCCTTATAGCCACGACTTGAGGACTCAAAGTGTTTTTTTGCACAAAACTCGAATA